GTCTATGCATTAGAGAAATCCAAGGACATTAGCCCTACCAGATTTTGGTGGCCCTTTTGCCTAGCAACAGAAGGTGGCAACCAAGGCAGAAGACTGTACAAACACACAGAAAACAAAAGACAATGGGGGATAATGGCTAGACGCCTGGCTTTGAGGCCAGACTGGGTTTAAATTCTGTGTCTACCATACATTGTGTGATTCTGGGCCAGTTGCTCACCCTCTCTAGGTTTCAGTTAATTCCTTGGTAAAATGAGGTTATAACTGCACCTACCACACAGGTTGCAGAGAACCAAGTCACTGCTCCTTCACAGCCTACTATTCCTAGTAGCTCTGGTATTTGACCCACTGGAGGCATCTGGTCAGCCAAGACCTTCCTGCTCTTCAGGCCTCAGTTTTCCCATCCTTAAATATGGGATTTTTTTAAAATGTGAATTTTGCCTAGTCTCTCAGCTCAGTCTGTAATTCCAGCGACTGGGGAGGCTGAAGCTGAAGGATCACAAGGTCAAAGCCAGCCTCTGCAATTTAGTAAGACCCTGCCTCAAAATAAAATTTTAAAAAGGACTGAGAGGTGATGTGACTCAGAGGTGGTGTGACTCAGAGGTAGAGTGCCCCACGGTTCAATCCCCCTGTCCCCACTTCTCTCTCTCTGTCCCGTACATACACGCACAAAGTTCATTTTGGCTTCCTTGTTTCGAGTTTAAGGGGGAAGAGAAAGGAATGTCTACATTTCTTGGACACCTACACAGAGGCCAAGGGGGCCTCTAGGCCCAAGGCGAAGCAGCCAGAAGCCTGATAGTAGGACTCAAATTCATCTGTGTCTGATTCCAAATTCACTCACCAAACTACTTTTTCTCGGAGCTTTTCAAAGCCGTGCTTCTTAGATAAAGGATCCCCAACAGTGATCCGGGTGTAGCTCAAGCTCCAGGGAGACTCTCTCAAATCGCGCTACAAGCGCGATGCGCTTTCCACAGTGCAGACAGAATTGCCACCCTCGGATCTCCCCGTCTGCCCCGAGCCTGGCTGCAGGATCCACGAGCCTCCCCAGCTGTGCCCCTCACCCAGCCCCAAGCCCACATGAGAGTGGGGGACATCTGGCGTGGAGAGTGGGCGAGCCAACGTACCCCAAAGCTTGGCGTCTCTGCCTGATCCCGCGCAGGGAGCGGACGCCTCTCTCCTGACGCTCAGCAAAGGCTCCTACACGTCGTCCCTTCCAAGTTCCAGCCCACAGCCTGTTCCTTCTCTTCACCGGGAGAGTCTCCAGGGGCTGATTTGGTCCTCAGAGTCCCACGACTATTAAGGGGCCCGCGGTGACACCAGGGACTGGGCTCCAAGAAGCATCGATGGGAGTCGGAGGCACCAAGGTTTTGGAGACACCTGGACACTCCAGTCGGAGCGAATCTGGAAACAAGACAGGAGTCCAAGGGAAAAAGGGAGGCGCCGTCTCAATGCGATGTTGGGGATGCGGGTGTCCTGGGGCTGCGACACCCACGGGACACGGGCCTCCCGTCCCGGCGGGGCAGCCCCCACCCTGGCCCAGCCCGGCGCCCCGCGCCCCGCTGTACCTGTGCGGCCGCGGCGGCCCGCTGCGCTGCTCCGCGCTGCCCGCCCGGGGCGCACACAATGAGGCACTTTCAGACGTGGCTGCGGTCCCGGGCCGGCCGGCGGGAGCCAGGGCGGGAGCGAAGGAAGGAGCCAGTTGGCCCCCAGCTCCTGCTACGCTCCCCAGCCGAGACCTTGGGGCCACGCCTCGGGGGAGGGGCGGTGGCCGAGGGCGGGCGCAGCTGGGTCGGGGGAAAGGGAGGGCACAGGTGGGCTCGAGGGACACCGGGGCCACATCGTCGGGACGAGGATGCCAAAGGGCGCTCGCAGGGTCACCTCTCAGCCCACAATGGTTCAAAAAAGTTGTCGTCCCCTCAATCTCCAGAGGAGGGAGGCTCCCGGGAGGACAAAAGGCCCTTGTGAAGGAAATCGAATCTTAATCTTGCCCCCCCCCCCCATTCCCCCACCCCCGCATTCTCCGCTCTCGGTGGCATCCTCGCAGCGGAGTGACTTGGAATCCAAACTGCTCCCCAAGTTCTCAGCCTCAGCACAAAGCCAACACCCAGACACCTTGATGCCAGGGGTACCCTCGCAGGCTCCTTGACTTAGTAGCCCAAGCGGGAAGGCCAAGAGGCCAGGTGGCTTTCAGGAATTGGGCCCCCGCAGTTGACCCCGCTTCCTGTCTCCTCCCTACCCTACTCTCGACCCCAGGCACAGGTTTGATAGCAGGTCCAGATAAATACAGGATACATTTCAACAAATAAAACATATCATCCCTACACCCCCCCACCCCTTACAAATAACAGGGCAGAGTCCAGGCGAAGGACAGAGCAATGCAAAGACTTGTAATCCCTGATCTGAAACAAGTCCCTGCTGCCGGAAGTGTGAATTAGTACCAACCCTGGCTGTGGGTTGGCAAGATGAATTAAGGTCCTTAACCATGGTCATCAGCTTTTTGAATTAGTAATTCCTTTCTAGGACCTATCTTTTTTTAAAATATTTATTTTGTAGTTGGACGCAATACCTTTATTTTATTTATTTTTATATGGTGCTGAGGATGGAACCCAGGGCCCCACACATACTAGGGGAGCGCTCTACCGCTGAGCCACAACCCAGCACCCCACGCCGCCCCGCCCCGCCCAGGACCTATCTTAAGGAACTAAACCAGCAACAAGTATTTATATAGAGAGGTTCATAGAAAGTGGGTTTTTTGGGGGGGATGTGGAGGAGTTGTGGGAAAAAAATAGGAAAGAGTAGAAATATGTGTATCAGAATGCCAAATGCCAATCATGATAATTTAGGGATTCAGACAAGAGTTATTATTATTTTAAATTTAAGGTTTGTGTCATTTACAAATTTTCCTTAGTAGGCATTTAGAACTTATTTGGTCCAAAAGTTACAAAAATCTTTTAAATTGCATGAATAGAAAGAGGAGAAGAAGATGGAGGAGGGCAGATGGGAGAAAAGAGGGAGAAGGGAAAGCAAAGGGGAGAGAGGGCTTTACTAACTTTACATGACAGAACCTTGGTGGGTCATTAGGTCCTGGCGCCTGATTCCAGCAGAAACTGATCATTTGACAAAATTAGGAATCTTTGTCTTGCCTTGACCCCAAATACTGAGTAACAATCTCAAACCCTGATTTAGCTCTGGGTTGTAGCTCAGTTGATGAAATCCTATTTCTCACCTTTTCTTCCTCTTGCAACTCTGCAGTGTGGTTCAAGTTCAGAAGCTACCATCATATGATCTGAAAATAATTTGATATTCACCAGACACAGTTGTAATTTTCCATGCTGTGGTTTCCACAGGCCATGTGGATTCCACCAAAAACTCACATTTACTTGGGGTTGGACCAGAAGACTTTTGCCAGAGAACCAACAAAAGCTCCAAGGTCTCTGGGCAGAGTCTTGGCAGAGGAAGCCTGCCGGTGAGTAACGGAGAAGAGTGCGCAACTTCTGCACTCCCTATTCTTCCCCCTCCAAACCCGTTCCCTCTATAAAGCCACAGACAACCTTCCATTTTGAATATTTTAATTAGAAAGTTATAAAACATCATTAATTCTCCATATAAATCTCACATTAGAATAATTTAATAAAATGCAATGCTTATCTTCAGCCATCTTTCCATATCCCATTACCTATTTGAGATTTAAACCAGAAACCATTTTTCATTTATATCTCAAGGGAAAAATATGTAGGTATATAAATAGCTCTAAATATTTTAAAAGAAGTCAGAGAAACTAGTGTTCAGGAATTTTCCTGCCTGAATACTTCAACATAGCTGTTTCCAACAATCTCATTTTGGTCAGCCTGAAAGAAAAGATGCTTTGGAAATAAGAATTGAATCTCCAAAGTAAGTTGAGGCATACACAGAGGGGTGTTTGTTAGTGGACATGAAGCATGGGTCACAGGGGACTGTCCTTCCAGTGCTATGACGTGGTGGGGATCATAAAGCAGAAGACCTCAGACCAGACTGCATCCTTGCTCAGGGTGAGACTGGGGCTGAATGGCGTCTTCCGTGTACAGCAGAAGCCCACTCTCCCTGCCTGGAAGAGCTGGCAGCTTATCATGCAGCTGCTGGCCAGCCTGGACAGGACTCCCTGAGCTAGCATCCTATTCCTTCCCTTGCTTCTCCTCCTGTCCTCCCCAAAGCACCCCTCTGCTGGGCACCCAGTTCCTCAGTCAAGGGGAATGTGAGGAGCTGGGCTTCCTGCTAGCCCTCCAAATAAACCCTGCGGTTGTCAGGCAGTGGGAGCCAACACCAACAACAACTCCTCTGTCACCCACGTCCTTTCAGGAAGGGGGAGGGCTGTCAAGGAGAAGGAGTGGCAAGGGTCCAGGCTGTTGGGTGAGGGCCAGAGAGAAAGGACCTGTTGTTACAACCCTTGCGTCCCCCACTGCTGCTGAGGGGACTGAATGAAACAGCACTTCTGACTTCAGCCTGCCATTCCAGGGGCACAGACAGAGGGCAAGAGGCAGGGCAAAAAGCCAGCCTCTGTAGCGCAGGGAGAGAGGGTGGTTCAGCTGAGCCCGTGACAGACGGCGTCTGTTAGGCTGAGGCAGGTGGACTGTCCCAGTGTCCTTAAGTCGCCCACCCTCTGCACAGGCTTTCGCTGCTCTTGTGCTGTGCCCTCCCCTTGCAGTTCTCCAGTTAAAGGCCTATGTTCTAGAAATCAAAGCTCTGAATGGGAACTGTAGATACCCAGGAGTAGCAAGTGCTAGGGATTAGCATATTTATCATGAAAGCCCTGAACAGAGTAAAGAGTGGCTTACAATAGGGGGAGGAAAGCACAGGGCTTCTCAGTTCAAAAGAGGAAAAGTCTTTCCTCCACCAGAGATGGGACTCTTTCCAAGATGTCAGAACTGTGATTTTCTCCTATGGGTAAGGCTAAAAACAAAAACAAAAATGAATGATAGCCTCGGGGAACCTTCTGACCTTCCCACAAACTAGTCCCTGACAATTTTGTTGGTGCTTAAGAAAATATGGGATTTGTGTAGAGCAAGATTGGAAAGAACTGTCTTTTGTCTCTGAGGGGAAAAACTCTTATGTAAGCCTTCACGTGTCCACCGCACTGTTTTCAGAAATGTGGTAACACGGCAGTTCTCAGAAGACAACAGTGAGGTAGCCTCGGTCCTGCTGAGTCTTCAGAAAGGTCTTCTTAGGATAAGTGCTCCTTATAGACTTCTCCCGGGGGCATTGCTGTTACAGGGATTGTAGTCACCACTTGATTCTGAAACACAAATATTTTGATTCTCTTGAACACCCAGAGGAAGATGAGCAAGATGCTGACATACTGGACCCAGGCAAACTTCACCATCTCCCAGAATCCTGGCTGGTAAGTACAGAGAGTTAAGGAATTGCAGATGACACGTAAATAAAAGTTGCACTAAAGTGCAGGTCAGACAGGAAATGACAAAAATGTTTCAAGTGCCCTTAAGATAAAAGGAGTAATAAAAAATTATTAAGACATGAATATGGATGATCCTGACCTAGGAGAATTGCTCAGAAAGAAATATGAACAGGAAATGAGCTTTTTTTCCTGTATGAGCAGTAGCAGACACGGCACAGTTACTTGAGTGGGGCTACAGGGCTGCAGCAACCCTCAATGTAAGGTGTCCCACATCTGTTCCTACTTGGGCAACCTGAGAATCCTTCCTTTCTTTGTGGACACTGAGCCCCCGCTGGCTCTCTAATAAAAAGGATATGAAATGACTTCCACAGGGTATCGGATGACAGCATTAATCACAAATGGAGCTTCCGCGGCCCTGCCCACCAGCCAGATGGGGTTGGCGTCATTCAGGACGGTGGTAACTGCAACACAATTATCAATCATTAATTTAGGATGGCCCTTTGGCAAAAAAGAAAAAAAATATGTATGGGGAGGCTATAAATATTCTTTGATTATTGGGATACATATATATACACACATATATGCACATACACATGTATTTTGTACTGGAGATTGAACTCAAGAGATATTTTTCACTTCAAAATTCAGAAATAAAAGAAGAAAGAAACTTGCCTGTGCAAAGTTACTCAGGTATTATTCAAGTACTTGTTAAAAACCTGGAAGCAGAGTCCTACTATTGCTGCATAGAATACTACATTGCTGCAGGAATACTATATTGCTAGTAAAAATAAGGCCAAGTAGAACTTTGTATCAGTGTGGCAATATATTTATACTACATAGTTAAATAAATATGAAGAATCTGAATCCCAAAGTGTTTCTACACTATAATAGCTATATGAAAAAGAAGAAAAAGTTGACTTGCAGGTCAATAGTTTTTAATTTTTTAAAAAAGTTCTTCTATCACTAGAATAATGGTATTATTGTATTGTATGAAATTAGGAATAAATATTGGAGATGGCTGGGTGTGGGGTCCATGCTGGCTGGTTGACCAACAACACTTTTGATGCCTTTGGAGAAAACCCTAGGCCACCGATCAGCCCAGCCCAGTATGCTGAGTGGAGCACCAGGATGGCCTGAGTGCCTCAACCCTGTAAGGACTACACATGTTCTGCCTGCCACCAGCACGACAAGGCTCTGCTCCTGCAGGGGGCTGCTCATGGGGGGGTGACTCGCTCCTGTCCTCTACTTCTATCTGAAAAATATGGACATCAAAATGTCTTTGGTTTCTTTTATTGGTGTGGCAAGAGGAACATCTCAATTAGACTTCATACACATTAAAATAAGGAAACCCATCAAGCCAGTGGTCACTAACTTGCTGGACCACAAGAGGGGCACTGAGGTGGGAAGAGGCCAAGCTCTGAAAGTGATGAGCGGTAGCTGAATGGCCTACACCCCAGACTTACCATTCCTTTCCTGGTAGGCAGCAACAATGTGGGTTAGGTCATAGTCGTAGGCAAAAGGGCTGGTCCCATTGATCACAGACACCTGGGACACAGCAGGAGGACCTGGAGTGAGCACTTGAGACCTCGCTCTCTTCCCTCTACCCTCCCCACCCCAGAGACCGCCTTCTTGTTCTTGTTGACCTATGCCAGTATCAATAATATTTTCTTCAAGGAGGAATAAGCTCTCTTGCAATAATTTTAAGTTCATTTACTTTTCCAGTAATTCCTTTTGTGGGATTGGAAATGGTGCCAATGTCCACCTTTCACAGGTTTTAAAGCTATTTATACAACATTCCTCTATTACAATGGGAGAAATAATTTCATTAAATTGTTTTTTTTTTTTTTTTTTTTTGGGGGGGGGGGGGGACCAGGGATTTAACCCAGAGGGGTCTTTACCACTGAGCCATATCCCCAGACCTTTTTTTATTGTTTTGTTTTTGAGACAGGATCTTGCTAAATTGCTGAGGCTGGACTTCAACTTTCAATCCTCCTGTCTCAGTCTTCCCAGTTGCTGGAATGTGGAATTACAGGTGTACACCACCATGCTGAGCAATTCCTTCAATTTCTTTCCTCTCTTTCCCCTCTCCTCTCCTCTCCTTTCCATACTAGGGATTGAACCCAGGGGTACTTTACCACTGAGCCACATCCCCAGCCCTTTTTAAAATTTTATTTAGAGACAGGGTCTTGCTAAATTGCTTAGGGCCTAAATTTCTGAGGCTGGCTTTGAACTCATGATCCTCCTGCTTTAGCCTCCTGAGCCGCTGGGATAATTGCATGTGCCACTTCGCTCAGCAATTCCTTTAATTTTTAAAAATAGACCATATCAGCAATTTAGCAATGCCCTAAGCAACTTAGTAAGATCATGTCTCAAAAAATAAAAAGTGGTAAAGTACCTCTGGGTTCAATCCCCAGTACCAAAAACCAAACAAATGGACAAACCACATATTCAATACCTTTGTCTTTTTTTTCTCCTGATTACTCTCTTTATTTTATTTTTTTTTTAAATATTTATTTTTCAGTCTTCGTGGACACAACATCTTTGTTTGTATGTGGTGCTGAGGATCGAACCCAGGCCGCACGCATGCCAGGCGAGCGCGCTACCGCTTGAGCCACATCCCCAGCCCCTTACTCTCTTAACTTTAAAAAAACAAACAAACAAAAAAAACCTCTTAAATGTAGAAGTGGAAATAGAAAATGCAAAGGTAAGCATATAATCCTTTATAGCAGGAAATGACTTCCCGCCCTCTATTATCACAGTTCTGTTGATGTAATCTGATCTTCTAAATTCCATAGTATGTTTACAGAGTATAGTCCTCTCCCTTTGTAACTTAGGCTGACTATAGTTAAAGCCACCATAAATCCCAGTTCATTGGGAACAGTTGTGGTATATGGCTGTAATCACTGATAAAATCCCTCTTTCATTTAAAAACAGCTGAACTGGGCTGGGGATGTGGCTCAAGCGGTAGCGCGCTCGCCTGGCATGCCTGCGGCCCGGGTTTGATCCTCAGCACCACGTACAAACAAAGATGTTGTGTCTGCCGAAAAACTAAAAATAAATAAATAAATAAATAAATTTTCTCTCTCTCTCTCTCTCTCCTCTCTCTCTTTAAAAAAAAAATAAAAAATAAATAAAAACAGCTGAACTCAATTTACATGGTTCCCCTGTGAAATAAATGGGAATAAATGATTATCATGAGGCATGAGGTATGGACTTAGCTTCTGGCTCTGTTACTTGGAAGCTATGAGATTTGGGGGAAATTAATTAATGCCTATAAGCCCCAGTTTCCTCATGTGCAAAATAAGAGTTCATTCATTCATTAAATACCTCTGAACTGACAATGTGCCAGGCACTGTTTAAGCGCTAGGGTGATGGTATACAAGATATCAGCACTTTTAACACTGAGGCAGAAAACAAACACACCAGAAACATATCTTTAGGATGTTAGATGGCAGTAGGAAAAGTCATTCTGCCTGAAGAATGCTGGAGGAAGGAGGTCCAGGGAGAGACTGTGCTCAGGGACCTGTGTGGATTGGTCCAGTAGGCTCCCTGCATAACTAGCAGAGGGAATGGCAAGTGCAAAAGCCCTGAGGTAGAAGCTGCTTCTTAGATTCAAAGAATAGCAAAGGCCAGCAGGGCTAGAACAGAGGAAGGGGGCAGTGACAGGACAAGTGGCTGGAAAGCTGGGAAATGACAAGTATAAGCAACCAATCTCAGGAGGTTGCTGTGATGATTAAATAAAGCCAGGCATGGTGGAGCACGCCTGTAATCCCAGTGGATCAGGAGACTAAGGTAGGAGGATTGCAAGTTTGAGGCCAGCCTCAGCAACTTGGTGAGGCCCTAAGCAACTTAACTAGACCCTGTCTCAAACCAAAAAATAAAAAAGGCTGGGAATGCAGCTCAGTGGTTAAGTGCCCTTGGGTTCATTCCCTGGTACCAACCCCCCACCCCCCACCCCCCCAAAAAAACCATTAAATAAGATGTTGTATGCAACCTTTTTCTCTTTCTTTTTCTTTTGAGACATTGTTGCCCAGGCCTTGCTCCAATTCCTGGGCTCAAATGATCCTCTTGCCTCAGCCTCTTGAGAGCTGGAAATAAAGGTGCAGGCCACCACACCTGACTATAAACTTCTTAGCTCAGGCCTGGCATCTGCTACATATTCAACAAATGGTGGCTAGTATTATTTTTATATGTTTTACATGAAAAGCTTACATGATCATATGGAATACACTGTGTGTGCGTACCTGAAAGCAATAAGCAATTTAGTTCTTCAATAAAGACAGACATTTCCCCCCTCTCTCTTCCTGGGTATAAATCAAGGTAAACCTCCATATTCTGTAAGAATTTATGGCAAGAATTCCTCAGAAGTCCTCATCTGTACCACCCACAGGGAAATGCTATTTCCAACTTTCATTTCTCTTCAAAGAATGTGATAAACATACAGGAACAAAGAAGGTGGGTGACAAGAAGCATTCTTACATTATATCGGACATCTAGGCCACTGTAGCCTAGCGGCTGCTTCTGCTGCAACCTTAGGTCTCCATTTACATACAACTGGGACCCAGGAACAGCAAAGGAAGACTGGAGAAATGCCATGCTCTGCATCACAAAGGTTGACATCCTCTGAAATCATAAGAAGGAGAGATGATATTAATTGCCATTGTATCTGAAGGGTTCTGGGTTGATAGTCACTGTCTATGGCTTAAGCTGAGGGTCTTCATGTATCTGGGTTAGCCACATGAGAGGCCCTGTTCCCAGAACCCTCTGAGCTATTAATAATTAATGTATATTCATATGACCCCAATGAAAAACATGCAATTTGCTTAAGTCAAATTCCCTATAATGCTTCTGGAAAGCAGGAGGATTCCATTCTTTTAAAAGACAAAAAGGAGAGGATGGGCCTCCTTAAGGACCAACTCACGTGCAATTGGTAGGAGAAGGTCAAGATGAGCTGCACACCAAGGACGTGCTCTGTGGGCTGCAGAGGAAGCTCCAGCTTAAGATGTAACATGTCCATTTTCCCATCCTGGTTCCTGTCTTCTTCTCTAGACTAGGAAACCCAGAGAGGGTCAGTGGCCTGGTCCTTAACAAGAATCTGAAGAATCCACATCACTTCTGTACCTACACAATGACCCGCTGTTCTGCTGTACACAGGTAATTACCTCCCTCAAGGAGAGAGAGAGAAGAATAGGTGTGAATGGATCTTTACTGGGAAAGACACAATGTATACAGCCCTTGACATTCACCCCTGTGCCTTTCCAGGGTTCACAGGCTGAATGGAATAACAATAAACATCTGGATAGCATCATCTCTTTTCAGTTACCTAATTTTAACTTGCTTATTGGTATTTTTCGGTATTTGGTATTCTTAGTATTTTCTCTTTTCTTTTTCCTTCTGGTATCGGGGATGGAATCCCGGGGCACTTTACCACTGAGCCACATCTCCAGCCCCTTCTTATTTTGGAACAAGGTCTTGCTAAATTGCTTAGGGTCTCACTAAGTTGCTGAGGCTGGCCTCAAATTTGTGGTCCTCCTGCCTCAGCCTCAGAGTTGCTGGGATTATAGGCATGTACCACTGTGCCTGGCTTCTTTTCTTTTTTAAAATAAATAAGTCTGAATTTATATAGAAAATTTAAACAGCTCATCAGAATTGTTTGCTATAGCTTTAGAAGTCCTCCCTCCCTTTTTTTCTAAAGTGCTGGGAGTAGAACCCACAGTCTCATGTGTACCCCTTCTCCCACTGAGGTGTACTCCCAGTCCTAAGCCAGATTTTAAAAACAGAAACAAAGAAAGAAACCCAGCACCCCCATTCTAATTACTATGTTCCTCCAAAAAATTCAACAGAAAATCACTAAGCCCTGAATATACAATCTCCAACCACAATTGTCTTTGCTTCAGGGTCCTGGTGAAGGCCCATCCATCTCAGGACTTTTAAGCCTTGTGTATCTTTTAGTACCAATCAATAAAATGAAAAAATGAAGCTAAGTGAAATCAGCCAGGCCCTAAAACCACAAATGTTTTCTATTATGGACATGAAACTAAAGAAAATAGATACAAATCTGAGGGCAAGAGAGAAATCACAGCTCATAAATCATATGTAGGCAATATTCAATGTATTAAAATATCAATACCCAGTCTTGCCATGCAGGCTTGCCCCATAGTGACCCTACAATAACCAGCAGAAGAGGACAATCACTGAAATGTAATCACTACTGACTCTGGTCCTCAGCACGACTCTGGATCTTGGTGCTATAAGCGGTCCCCTTCCCACCACGTTCCCAGATGCTACCAGGGAATATCAACATTGCCACATGCTCCTCCCTCTTTTGGTTCACTTTGCTCCCTACTATTACCATTTTGTGAGGAAGACTTTTTTTTTTTTTTTTTAATGTCTTTCAGGCTAGTAAGGCTGTTTGAGATAAAGATGTCAATTTTCAGAAACTTTCAATTATTTCTTTCTTTCCAGACAATAATGTCCATGTCCTTGACCTTATGATAGACAAACCTACCCTCCTTCTTCCACTGGATTCTACTGTCTGGCCTGTCGAATCAGCTTCACCAGGGTAGCGGGGAGATCTGTGCTACCAGGACTGATGATCGAGTACCTGAGGCAATTCTGACTTAGTAATGAAGAGTGGGCTGGAAAGAGGCTGTCTGTGTTCCTGCCCGTTTCCTTCAGCTGATATCTGGGAAGATGATGAGGGATTGACTTTCTGTAAAGAACCCTCACCTTCAGGATCTTAGGACTGGACATGAAAACAAGGAACTGTCTTCTCCATTTGAATCAATTTGAGAGAAGGCGGTGGCCAGACGCCAACACAGTGTGGGAGGAAGAGAAACTCATCTCATTTGGTCTTTTTAATAAATGTCAAGCCTAGATATCAGGCCCTCCAGGCAGAGCAAGTATTATCCCCATTGTATAAATGAGAAATTTATACAATTTAAGCTGGGGGCACAGGTACAGCTAGTAATGATAAAGACTGGATTTGAGATAAGGTCTTTGACATCAAATCTGGATCCCTAACTAGGACTATGTTCAGATCCACCCCCCCTAAAAAAAAATTCAAAGAGAACTGTTGACTAGGACAAACCTTTTTGCAAAAAGGTTACATAGATATTTGTGTGCACATTTTCACTCCAAGTTCACAGAGGACAAAGACATGGCAGAGTACCATAATTAGTGTCTGCTTTTAAAACTGGCTCATTAATCTGTCAAGTACTGTTTTACAGAGATTGAACCCAAAGGCACGACATTCCCAGCCCTTTGTGGTTTTTATTTATTTTGAGCCAAGGTCTCCCTAAGTTGCTTAAGCCTCCCTAAATTGGTGAGGCTGGCTTTGAACTTACAATCCTCCTGTCTCATTGGGATTACAGGTCTGTGCCACCAAATTCAGTTGTCAAGTACTTTCTGAAGCCCTACAACAGACCAGGCACTGTTTCAGATGGCTGGGAATAAAATTACAACAAAATAGACAAAGTTTTCATCCCAATGGAGCCAAGATTCCCAGCAGGAAAGATAGAAAACAGTTAAAAATAAACAAACATGTTAACAATACCGGGTAGCGTTAAGTACCCAAAGAAAAATAAAACAAGCTAAAATTAGAGGATGATGAGTGAAGGCAGACATTAACAAATTTTTACAGAAAATTCTATAACCTGATCTGTTGGTGACTTGAATGAAGAGGAATGACAAGGCACAGGAACGTCTAGGGGAAGAGTGATTCAGGCTAAGGAAGGCCCTGTGCTCTAAGTGTGGGGCGAGGGGTAGTGGCTGGGAGCTGGGCAGCAAGAGTAAAGGGGAGGGCAGCAGAAGAGGAGGGTGAGTGAATGCTGCATCTCCCACAGATGACCTCTTACCCGGCTGGACTCTCACCCTCTGGGCTGGCAAGAGGGGCTACCTGTCTATGCTACTGCTCGAACCATTGATGAAATCAATTCTAGTGCAGGTACCTCCATAGTATTGAGGAAGGACCCACCAGAGGAACCCGTAAGGTGGAGGAGAGCTTTCTGTTTGCTTCTTGTCCCCGTTTGGGTCACCCCAGCAGTGGTTCTTCATTCTGGCAGGTCGCAACTGGTTGCAGCTTGTTCCCACTCCTAGAACCAGGCACATCGTGGCTCCTACTGGCAGAGAGAGCCAGCAGGCAAAGGACAATGTGGTTTTTCAGCATCTCAGCATGAGCATCAGGGAGCAGAGCATCAGGGAGCAGAGCATCAAGGAGCAGAGCATCAGGGATCAGAGCATCAGGGAGCAGAGCGTGCACAGGAGGTGGCCTTGGGGTTACAGGTACCTCATAACAGGGCACACACAGGGCAAATGGCTAGCTGTGACCACACCCAGGGCACACTATGTAGCTGTGACCGTTGTTCCCAGGACGTCCTGACTTGCAACATTTTTTTTTCATCAGAGTTTCTACAGAATCTGATAGTTTGTTGGAATTTTGTTTGGTTCCTACTTCATTTTTACCTTTCATTCTGAGTCAGGTTCTTTTACTAAGTGCTGATTTCATAATTTATATCAGGGTCCATTTCACCATAGACTTGTCATTACTGGGTTCTATTTTTTTTCTTTTTATGCTGAAAATACAGATGGATACTGATATTTAGGTCTCTAGCAAAGTAGGACTGCTACTTCATGATTCCCATATCCATCAAATCCTTACCTCCTGTATTTGGATGAATCTAAAATACCATCAATTACAAACTGCATCATTACTTTACATAGCAGGAAAAAAGGGAAAATATTTTCAATTAAATGATGGCATAATGTTTTCTAATCTCTGGAGTATTTTATACTTATTGAAGGAATTTTTAGATTTACATCAGATATCACATTTATATCAGATATTTATACCAAATTTCACATTTATTCACATGGAAATATAAGCAAAATAAATTGATCCAGAGATTCCTAAAACTTCTTCATAGTCTCATTCTTTTGAATCACATTTTAACTCATTCAATCATATCCATACTTTTCCATGAAATCTTGTCTTCGTACCATCAAGCATGCTGGTGATACAGCATTTAAAGAAATAATTCATAAAGAGAACTTAAATACATTGGTCTGGGCCCTTAAGCAGGCTTTGAAATCATGCAGCATTATCCTATTTTTTAAATGCCTCCTGAGCCTTCCCTTATCCAATCTCCGTCTTTAGGGGTTTAGAATAATGTTTCACTACTGACTTGGGGAAGGTGTTTTTTGTTTGTTTGTTTTTTCATGTTGCTGATTCCCCTTCTGCAAGTTTTGACAATGGCACTTTTGATGTTTGCATGTGGGTAGACAACCGGGCCAGGCCTGCCTTACGGTTAACAGCTAATGTCAGCTACCCTCACAGGAAGACACGCTCTGATTTCAGAGATGAGGAAAAGTCGGGGCTTAGTCACGTGGTTCTCCCAGCTCTTGCTCCAGCCCAGGATCCTCCTCTCACCTTCAGCTCCCCATCCCCCAGCTCCACACAGGCCTTCAAGAGCCACGCCCGGCTCAATAGGGTTCACTCTGTTTATTTTCCTCTCTTTTGAAAAACAACAAAAGCTAGACGTTCAGAGGATTAAAAAACATACGGATTTTAGAGATGCTGTCCAAGGTGATCTGACTAAAGCAGAAGCGTGGCTGTCTGCGACTTCTGAGGCATCTTCCAAAATTAGCAACAGCAAAGCTGTCTCCCAGCATTTTGGTCAAGCCCTTGACCTAAAAACCATCATTTGTTGGCTTCTTGGGCAGACAGTTTCCAGACAGGTTGAAGCCAGTCTGGCTTTATGTTCAGCCTTGGAAAATAAAAAAAAATAATTTTGTTGTAATAGGATTAAGAGTATAAGATTTGATGGGCTGGGGTTGTGGCTCAGTGGCAGAGCACTTGCCTCACATGTGTGAGGCACTGGGTTCAATTCTCAGCACCGTATATATATAAATAAGTAAAAGGTCCATCAACAACTAAAAAAAAATATTTTAAAAAAAGCATAAGATTTTAATCTGAAATATGAAGTTTCCATCCAGACTCTGGTCACCTGAAAGCTTGAGCAAATGACATCACTTCTCTGAGTATATTTCTTCATCTGTAAAATGCAGGTATGACCTCTATCTCACAGGGTTACTGTGAGGATAAACAGAGACTAGCTCTTTAACAATGAAGAAACACAATGGAATATTACTCAGCATTAAAAGAGAATAAAATTATGGCATTTGCAGGTAAATGGATGGAGTTGGAGAATAAGTGAAGTAAGCCAATCCCCAAAAACTAAAGGCTGAATATTTTCTGATAGTGGATGCTGACCTATGATGGGGGCGGGGCAGGGGGGCATGGGAAGAATGGAAGAACTTTGGATTGGGCAAAGGGGAGGGTGGGGAGGGGTTATAGGGGTAGGAGAGATAGTGGAATGAGAATGGACATCATTACCCTAGGTACATGTATGACTGTACGAATGGTGCATCTCTATATCGTGTACAACCAGAAAATTGAAACGTTGCACTCATTTGTGTACAATGAATTGAAATCCATTCTGCTGTCATGTACAACTAAGTAGAACAAATTTAATTTTTTTTAAATGAAGAATACACAAAAAAATGTTATAGTTAACACTAAGTGATTACTATGGGCCAAGTACTATTAAAGAACTTTGTTATGTAACGATTAAATGCTTATCACCTGCCTAAGGCATAGTAAACCAATAATAATTTTTACTGCTATGGCTTATAAGTGTATTACTAAGCTATTGCTTGTATTTACGAATATTGAAGACATGATTCACATGCCATAAAAATCGGCCTTTTACAAAAACATTTAGTTGAATGCAATGCCACATTAATTCTCAGAGACTCCAGAGGCTTAGGAAGGAAGATTGCAAGTTCAAGGCCAACCTTAGCAACTTAGTGTTCCCTCCCCTTCCCCACAAAAAAATTGCTGGGGACTTAGCTCAGTGGTAAAGCACTCCTGGGTTCAATTTCTGATCACCAAAAATAAAATTTTAAAATAAAATAAAAAATAAAAACGTAACTCCACACATGTGCAGGCACACAGGCACACACCACTCCCAGTCTGTTCCCCCATGATGCCCTGCTCTGCCTTGGGACTTTGCCAGTAGGAGAAAGACTGGAGGTGACGATGTCATAAATTATAGACCTGGCCCATCCCAGAATGAAGGGCATAGGGAGACTAAGAAACTAAGAAAAAAGGAGTTATGGTCTTGTGTTTTACTAACAGTGTAAAATTATCCAGTCTGGGGATAGTAGTCCTGAGTTCAATCCCTACCACTGAAAACAAACAAGCAAACAAACAAAAGCAGTATTAAAGAGAATTAATGGTCTGGGCACCATAAAAATAAGAGGTGGTCTTGGCTTCTTAGACTTAAAATTGGAACCTGCACAGCAGAGGCAGGGGGAGACCATGGGTGGTGCCTTCCAGGGAGAAATTTCTGGTTATAGAGATAAGAGCTAACTAGCAGTTCAACTGGGGAGCCAACCAGTTGTGATGAATGAGCAAGTAAAAAGAACGAGTGAATGAAACCTAATGCTTATCCTTGTTTTAATGATTATTGTAAGTTTTCACGATTATTTCTTAGACTCAAGTATCTAGAAGTATAAGAGAGAAATACACAAATATAAAGAAAAAATTCTACCAACAATTCAAGGCACAAAATGCTATCTTTTTTTTTTTTTTTTTATTACAAACAAAAAAAAAAAAAATTTATTTTTTTTTTTTTTAAAAAAAAAAAAAAAAATGTTTGGATTGAGTCCAGACTTTGGGCCGGCTAGGCAGGTACTCTTCCACTGAACCACAACTCCTCCCCTCCAAAAATAAAGTTTTTCACTTTTGGAAAGGAGATACATAAAAAGTTGAACACAAAAAACATGAATACTGAGTACATGATGAAAAGTCAATCTACAGCTGGGCATGGTGGCACATGCCTGTAATCCCAGCGGCTCTGGAGGCTGAGGCAGCCTCAGCAAAAGTGAGGTGCTAAGCAACTCAGTGAGACCCTGTCTCTAAATAAAATACAAAATAGGTGGGGATGTGGCTCAGTGCCCCTGGGTTCAATCCCCGGTCCTGTGCCCACCTCTCCTGCCTCGCACCCCCAAAAGTCAATCTACTTCCCTGCTGGCCCCCCATCTAGTCATTCTTCCTCAGAGACAGTATATTCTCAAATAAAAATAAAAATGAGCAACATGTAATCATTAGTGAGAAGCAAATGAAAGATACGTGTTTCCTGCTCTAATCCCTGCCCACCTCCCAGGTGGGGATTGAATCCAAGGCCTTCAGAGTACATCTGCTTTGCCACTGAAATAAATCCACTGCCCTCCAGTTCTACTTTTAAATTCACTGTAAAAGACCACATCACGCCAGGCACAGTGGCGCATGCTTATAATTCCAGTGATTTGGGAGGCTGAGGCATGAGGATTGAAAGTTCAAAGCCAGCCTCAGCAATTTAGGGAGACGATAGACAACTTAGCAAGACCCTTGCTCAAAATAAAAAATACAAAGGGCTGGGGATGTAACTCAGTGGTAAAGCATCTCTGAGTTAAATCCCAGTACTAAAAACAACAACAACAAACCTGATCATTTAAAGAATCAAAGAATTCAATGATGTTACAAAAACATATAGCTTCCACAGCAAAAAAATTTTTTAATCTCATTTACCTGATTAGTGTTTTTAGAAATGTATCCCTAGGTCTTTAAATAACATTTGCATTAGCCTTGTCAGTTTCTCAGTTTTAGGAATTCTCTATTGGCCTCCCAAAGGAAAGATGATTTAGCTCCCCTCCCCTTCCACCAGCCCTGTCTGCACACTTCCCCACAATCAAGTTAAACCCATGTTTTGGTCAGCAAATATTCAGTGTTCACATAACTAAGACTATGTAAATCCTATTCAAAACCCTGATTACTTTTTCTTCATCACATTTTATTTCCCTGCAGTTCATAATTACTTTGTTTGCTTAGATTTCTATGTACTTATGCAATTTCAACAAACACCTTCTATTTCAATTCCTCACAACTTACAATTTCAAAGTTTAAAATTTAAGCTGGTCACAGTGGATGTGCACCTGTTGGCCCAGCTACTGGGCAGGCTGAGGCAGGAGGATCACTTGAGCCCAGGAGTTCAGGACCACCCTGGGTAGGATAGAGAGACCCTATCTCAGGGAAGGAAAAAAAGAAAAGGTATAAGATTTAGTCAAAATCTTGGGGCTGGAGTTGTAGTCCATTGGTAGAGCGCTTGCCTAGCATGTGTGAAACACTGGGTTTGATACTCAGCACCCATAAAAATAAATAAAGATTTTGTGTCCATCTACAACTAAAAATATATATTTTTTTAAAAAAGATTCAGTTAAAATCTTGTTCATGGAAATAGTGTCCTTACCAATTAAAAAGTTGGAGCAAATCAATATGGGCCAACAGGGAACTGGATAAATTTATTAGTTTTTCCATATCATGAAATACTTTGCAGATCTAAAAAGGGTAGGTTTATTAAAAGTATTCATACATGCACCAGACTGTCTTTAATTTGTCATTATGTATATGAGAAATTCTAATATTTGACAATGAACATATACACTTTTGTAATCAGAAAAAATAAGAATAAATAGGCTGATGGAAAAAAGTGAATTTTTTTTCCCTCACTCGAACAAGTTTTTGCCTTGAAGGCCAAGCATCTCAGAGATGTCCGAAGAGATCTTTTCATACTTCTAAAGGAAAATGTTTTCAGAAAGTGAATGAAAAGGGAGGGGACTGTAAAGAAAGCATTCGCTTATGCTAAACCAAAAGCCAAACTGTAAACAGTAAAATCAACTTGATGCCCTAAGGTTGCAGGATGGAGCAGCATCTAAAGGAAAAAGTCCAGGCGGGCGTGGCTTGGCCAGAGCACGCTGGGGAAGTTGCTTAGCCAATCAGCGCCTGGACTTCCCCGGTCCAGTCGGCCTGAAAAAGCCTGCCTTCCCGTGCCTAGAGTTAGGATGCACCAACGCATCGACACGAGGGAGTTAGCAGAACAGCTATCGGTCTCAGGGTCCGGAACGGGCTTCCACAACCACCCTCTCATCGGGCCATGAACTCGAAAGTGACAGGGAACAGGGTTTTGGCTGGACCTAGGAACTGCCAGCAAGGCTGGCTTTCCGGGAGCCGTGATGTCTGGGAGAAGCAGAATGACAAAACAGACCCACTCTCTAGGAAATTAAACACGGCAGGACAAAGAGCCCGAACAGCCTCCGTGGGCCAAAGTCCTTAAGAGCCAAGCTGCTGTGCCCGGGGTCGAGGCCGTTTGTCCCGGTCCATCCCCTCTCCACCCAGTCCCGGGAGGGTTAGGACCAGGTGGGAACCACACACCGAAACGAGCGGGACGCGCAGGTGATCCCCCTGCAGCCGGTTGAAGGCGGGGAACGTGCTCCAGGCCAGGAACCCGCCGTGCTCCGGCCCCAGCAGGGCCACGAGGAGCACTTGGTGCTGGAAGCGCACGGTCGGCTGCTCCTCGTAGCTGCTCCGCTTCAGCCAAAACCCTGAATTAAAGAGGGCGGTGAGGAGATTAGGAGGGCCGGCCGGGGCCAGCAGCGAACCGCGAGCTGTGCCGCGCACCGGCCCGGACAGTCTCACCGTGGCTCCGGTAGGCCACCAGCAGCGGCGGGATGTAGGTGAGGGCGGCGGCCAGCAGCAGGAACAACGCGGCTTTGGAGCAGAGCCCCGCGCGGTAGCCGCGCTCGGCGGGGTGAGAGAAGAGCTCGTACAGAGCCATGAGCAGCGCGTGCAGTCCCGCCGCTGGCCGGGCGCTCTTCGCGATTCCAGAGGGATGACTAAGTTTGGCTTCTCCTGGTTGCCTTCGCTTTGGTCTCCACGGCAACCAGCAGCGCAGGGAAAGGAACCAATAGCAAGGAAGCGGGGCCTTAGCAGGGAGGAGCTAATGGGGGCGGTGCCCGCTGGAGACCATAGTCTCCTTAAAATCCAGTAGAATGTCTCCCTTCACCCAAGTCGTAGGCATCTTCTTTGTTAACGTTTATGTAAAACAAGATGTTCTTAAAAGTTTATTTAAATGCTTCATTACAGGTCGTCAGTTAAGCCCCAGTGTGGTTCGTACTGAAGTCTAACAATGCACATTAATCCGGCTGCAGCCCTGAACAAGTTTCTGAGCTAAGACCAAAGCCTCTGTTTCCCAATTTTCTGTTCCTTCCACTAAGTCCAAAGAAGGTTAGGACACAAATCCCCTGGCTTTTCGAGAGATAGAGGGTAGTCACTACATAGCTATTTCTAGTATACTTTGTTACTTTGCACTGGGTACAAGTACGGCTGCTGGTTTTAGGAAAGCTATGGTCCTGCTCAAAGATAACTTTGGCTTATCATTTAATTGAATGCTTCCGACACCTAACCAAATTTTCAAACATGGCCGATTATCTTTATGATCCTTAGCCAAGTTCTCATCGCAACGTCCTGAGGTATCAAATTGCTGTGTCAAGAGATAGTGTGAGGTTATGCTTTGAAGTAGAATCCAGTAGTGGATGCCTCTATTTTGAAGGCATATCTAGAAGTGGAGGTTAAGACCTGCACATTTTGGAAAACTATCCCAGGACCCTTACTGTAATCCAATATGTCAATTAATGCTGTTAGCAATAAAATGCTTTTGACATCTTTTGGTCCAGTACTAATCTTTCTTGCTTTAAATCTTTACTTAGGTGGCAACATAGTTTAAAACACAGAAATTGTGCCAGGCGTGGTGGTGGTGCACGTCTGTAATCCCAGCTGCTCAGGAGGTTGAGGCAGAAAGATTCCAAGTTCAAAGCCAGCCTCAGCAATTTAGTGAGACCCTAAGCAATTCAGCAAAACCCTGTCTCTAAATAAAATATTAAAAAGGGCTGGAGATGTGACTCAGTGGTTAAATGCTGTTGAGTTTAATCCCTGGTGCCAAAAAACAACAACAACAAAAATGTGTATGGGCTGGAGTTGTAGCTCAGTGGTAGAGTGCCTGCGTAGCATGTGTGAGGCTATGAGGCACTGGGTTTGATTCTCAGCACTGCATATAAATAAATAAAATTTAAAAATATTTTTGACAGCTAAAAAATAGTTTTTAAAAACCAAACTGTTAGCTTAATTCTGTAGTATGATTCTGACATTATATTGTGTCTATACTTTTTTGTTTGTTTGTTTGGGGACAGTGGGGTTTGAACCCAGGCCCTCAAGCATGCAAAACAAGTGATACACTACTAAGCTACATTCCTAGCCTGTATCAGTTCTTTAAGGATGACTTTCATTTATTTAAATAAGCACTAAAAGAAGGGTCCTTTGGAAAAGATGGATCTAATATACTGTAGATAATTTACTGCTGAGATACAGGGAAGTGACTGATAAGAGAAACAGAGGTGTATAAAGTGCCTCAGCTCTCCTGAGATGCCATGAACTTTTCAGAAATAATTAGTAATAATGGATGCTAACAGATACTCTGCTTCCATGATTTGAAGAAGCTAGTCTTTGTGGTTTTATTTAAAAATTTTTTTTCCAGTACTGGGGATTGAACCTAGGGGTGTCTACCACTGAGCTACATTTCCAGGCCTCTTTATTTTTATTATTATTATCTTGAGACAGGGAGGGTCTCACTAAGTTTCCAAGGCTGGCCTTTAACTTGTGATCCTCCAGCTTCAGCCTTTCAAGCTGTTGAGATTACAAGCATGCTCCATTGTGCTCAGCTGCTCTAAATTCAATTCTTTGAGAGTATTAGATTTAGAAAATGCTAAAGATCTGTGTATACTGCCATTTTTTCATATATTCATGATGGAGAACTGACTTCTCATTTTCCATTTCCATAATGCTCTTATGTTTCATACAGTTATCTCCAAAGGAGCTCATTCTCATAAAACTACACATTTTAGTCCTATTCCTCTCCTTTAAAGAAGCTCTTATTCAGTCTTTCTAGTCAACTTAGAACTCCTGAATATTTGCTTCAAGGCTTCCAAACATTTATTTTACCTTGGTATTTATATCACTTTCCATTTTCTTCCAACCCCAGGCTTCGTTTTGTTTTTATTTTTGTCTTTTGTTTTTGGCATTGAGGATTTTTTTTTTAAAAGAGAAGAGTGAGAGAGAGAGAGAGAGAGAGAGGGAGAGAGAGAATTGTTTAATATTTATTTTTTAGTTATTGGCAGACACAACATCTTTGTTTGTATGTGGTGCTGAGGATCGAACCCGGGTCGCACTCATGCCAGGCGAGCACACTATCGCTTGAGCCACATCCCCAGCCCTGGCATTGAGGATTGAGCCCAGAGGTGCTTTACCACTATATACATACATCCCCAGTCCTTTTTATTTTATTTTGAGCATGTATCTCACTAAATTGCTGAGGCTGACCTCAAACTTGCAATCCTCCTGCCTCAGTCTCCTGATTTGCTGGGATTACAGGTGTGTGTGCCACCACACCTAGTCCCAGCCTTTTTTTTTTTTAATTTTTAGTTGTCAATGGACTTTTATTTTATTTATTTATATGTGGGGCTGAGAATCGAACCCAGTGCCTTGCACATGATAGGCAGGCACTCTGCCACTGAGACACAGATCCAGCCCCCCAGCCTTTGTTTTTAACTGGAAAGTTTACCTTTGAAAAATATATCCTTCTCTTTGCATCAGAAGATTCACATTCTGTGTGAAGTCCTCTCTTGCTTAGCCCCACCTGGTTTTGTGCTGGCCTTTTTGTCCTAGTTATCCTTCAGAATCTATGTTCAAATGCCTCTCCAATATTTGAAACTCATCCTGTGAGTTTTTACAGGTCTGTTAATGTGTCATTGCATGTGTCTATTATCCTATTTCTCCTTCTGATTCAGCTCCTCAACTAACCACCTCCTCTAGGAATGCATCCATGGACCTTAGAACAGTCAACAGCTAAATACAATGACCCAACAGCTAAATACAATGACCCAATAGATAAAGAAGATGATGGATGCATATTAAGGCAGATCATACAAGCCAATTAGAATGGTGAACTGAAAAAAGATATCAAAAAAGCACATGAGGAAAGTACATCATTGGGACATTAGGAGATAAGCCTATGAGTTGGTGAGCCGTGGATCTTTTCCCTGAGAAGTATACTTAGTGTTTACACATTGCCTGCTTGGACTAGGGCACAATGACCAGCTGTGTAAAGGGAAGCAAGGGGCCTTGAATCCAGTCCTTTTTCTTTATTGGGGGGGGGGGAGGCAGTACTGGGGCACTTTACCACTGAGCTACATCCCAGTCCTTTTTAATTTTTGAGACAAGGTGAGACAGGTTAAGTAGCCCTCGCTTCAATTCCCAGCTACACACACACACACACACACACGTTATATATACACATGTGTATATGTGTGTGTGTATACCCATATGTGTATCTCCCGAATGCAACTGTTTTCTATCACCTCCACAGACACCATCGTTGTCTAATCCAGTGTTATTTTCCACCTGGATTATTACAATCTACTCTTAATGATTTCCCTGCTTCTACCCTCATTTCCCTACCGTCTCTAACTATTTACACAGAAACTAGTCTGATTTTTTAAAAAATACTTTTTTAGTTGTCAATGGACTTTATTTATTTACATGCAGTGCTGAGAATTGAACCCAGTGCCTCATACAGGCTAGGCAAGGGTCTACCATTGAGCCACAACCCCAGCCCTTTTTTGTCATTTTTGGTGCCAGGGATTGAACCCACAGCCTTGCACATGCTAAACATGCATTCTACCAGTGAGCTTAATTCTATGCATCTTAGCCCTGATTGTTTTAAAAGGTCCCAATGTGTTTGTTACAATTCTGTTTAAACCCCTTTACTCACTTCTCATCTCATTCTAGTTGAATGTTGAAATTCTAGTTGAAAGTTCTTTGCATGGAATTCATAGTGCCACACACATTGGTATCTTTGATCTCATCTCCTGACACACTTGTTATTCAGCTCCAGGCATGGGAGTTCTTCACATTCCTGGTGTATTCCAACTACTTTATCTAATTAGCATTCTATCCCACCATCACTCTTTAGCAACCTACCAGGCTCTATTTTTCTAAATAGCACCTATCATTACCTGACATTTATTTTTTGTCTTATCCCATTAGAATACAAATCCCATGACAGCAAGGGTGTTGTGTGTTTTGCTCACTGTTTTTCCCCAGCCTCTGGAACAGTGTACTTGTATGCAACAATACCATTTCAAAGCATGAAATTCAAAGAATTTTTCGCTCCATTAAACAAAAATCTATTCTGGTTGCTCCAAATCACAATCTTAAAATAACAAAAATACTTTTAGAATGAAGCTAGATTCCACAACACCCATCAGGAATTTCAGCTACAGGGAATGATGAATTACAGTGCTCAGACATACAGGCCTGAGAGATGCATCAGAATCACAAGCACGTGACAGAGGTCATGTGTGTAATTATGTGAATATTCTTGTTACATGTTCACTAGTTCATAAACAGATGATGACCCAGACCAGACTTCCTTGATGACTCTGCTTGGTAAAAAGGTATTACATCACTGAATGGAGAACCTCAAGGATATGCCGAGGCAGGTGACACACATGCTGAGTCCAGATGTGATTGGTAAGTCACTCCCACTGCCAGACAGGCAACTTGTCTCATGACCAGTTCTCAGAGGAATTCTCCAAGTCTAAGGATGAACATTCTTTGCCTCTGTCAGTTAAGGATAAGGGCTTTCTGTGATCAGTGATGTTACACCACTCAAATGCATATTTGTCAATGAATTCCACTACTGTGTATAAAGCACCAATACAAATTAATTAAAAATGTGTATTTGTTATATCTTTCCTAGATGTTTATTCAAATTCTTACTCATGAATTAAAGAAAGAAATGG